TGTTGGGCGAATTGAGTGTGGAGGCTCGACTAAGAAGGGCAGCCGGCCCTAGTCTTGGTTATGGCAGTAAATTAGGTTTTTAATTTAGCCGGCCCTAATTCTCTATGTGGGCTTGGGCCTAACTTGGGGATTAAGTTTTCAACCCTTGTTTAGTCTTCATAAATAGGGATCTCTGTACTTGTAATTCTGTGAGCACCTGAATAATAAAAACCCTAGTTGCAAAGTGGATTAGGTCAGCCGACCGAACCACTATAAATCTTGTGTTCCGTTTTTCTCCGTTTTGATTTCTGGTGTGTGTGTTCTTGTTTGGTTGTGGTTTGCTATTCAGTATTCATAGATACCCCAACACAAAGTACTGAGATTTGTTAATGGAGGGCGGGGTGGTGAAGGTGGTAGGTGGGGGGGGGGGGTTGAGGTTGAAGTTGAATAAAAAGAATTGTTTGGGTAATAAGAGGGCTGGTCGGCAGGGGCTGGGTGGAGGAAATAGAGGGCAAGATTGGAAAGTCAGAGTAATTTTTACTTTACATTAAAATCCGTGCCAAGTCAAAATGGGAAGTTTCAACTTGGACGGAGGGAGTATTATGATAATGGTGACAATAATAAATTAATAATAATAATAATAATAATAATAATAATATACTACTACTACTACTACTACTACTACTGCTACTACTACTACTACTACTACCACCACCACCACCACTACTACTAATAATAATAGTAATAATAATAATAATTATAATAATAATATTAATTATTATTATTATTACTATTATTACTATTATTATTATTATTATTATTATTATTCATTTCATCGAGGGGGGGGGGGGGGTTAGAAGGGTAGGAACTATCAATTTTTCAATCAGAACACCCTAGGTGCTGTTATAATATTACAACAAATGTTGTTCTAAATGTATTACTAATCATTAGTAATACTACTAATGATCTATTATGACTATGGTACGTCTCTTGTAAGAATGTCTAAATTTATTTAGCCAATTTATTAATAAAATTATCGTCCCAACAAATAAGCAATTCTTCCTTCTTAATCATAGATTATAGGTTCCGAAGTTCTTTCTCTTCTAGTCACACGCAAGCAAGGAGTTCATCTATCACACGAATCTCTTCAGATTTCTAACAGAAAGCCACACATTCCCTACCAAAAAGGGAAATGAGACTCTACGTTGGGACATACCGAAAAGGAAACTATGCTTATTTCTGGATGGAGTATTATAATTTTTTGTCAAAGGCTCGAAGCAACCAATAACTGATTAAGTTCAAAAAATATAATAACTACGTATACTTTAGAGTGGTTGTACCTTACAAAAAAATTGGGATCAGTTAAGCATTTACCTTTTTGGGTTAATTGCATTTATTTTTCTTAGGCTTGGTCGACTTTACCAAATTGTCCATGAGGTTTCTGAAAATTACAGATGAACCTCTTAAATAGTCAATTGATTTCAAGAAATATACCTTTAAAATCAAAGTGTCATGGAATATATTGATATTAGCAAGGTTTGGACTGGATTTTTCAATCTCCATTGTTTCTTATCGGTTAAAATGTTTACAGGTTTTTAGGAAAAAAAACTATTTGGGACTTGACAAGGGGTGTGTTTTCAGAAAAAAAAATATTGAAAACACGCAATCCTACTAATACTCAGAATACTCTCCATCTATTGTTTTACTTAATGGAAAAATTTACTTGACAAGGGGTGTGTATTTGTACTTTTCAGAAGCCTCAGGGATGATTTGGTTGTTTAACTGAACTCAGGGAGGCAAATGTAATTAGTCCTTTTCTGGGAGGTAGAAATGAAATACTTTTCTTGTTTGGTACAGCTCCATTGCTCCTCGAGATGAATAGTAATAAATCGAAGAAGTCGAGAGAAAGATCAGATAGCCCCTTTTCATTCCCTCGACAACGACGATCTGTAAGACCGAGATTATACTTAAGTATTGATTCTGATTCCGAGTAGTAGGGTAGTAGCAAGTAGTTGTAATAGTGATAGTGAAAAACTCAAGACTAAAAAAAAGGAGAAAAAAAAAGTAAAAGGAAGAAGCTAATTTAAAGTGAAATGCTCTTCCATTATTAATATCTTATTATGTATTCTTACTGGAAGATGCAATGTATCTATAAAATTATCGGCTTTTATACTAGAAGATTCGTCTGCCAGAAGATGAATCGAGGATATTGACGTGCCCAAGCAATAGTAGAAAGGAATCTGCCATTCTACCAACAGCTTTTGGAGGTTTCTTTACTTGGTAAGCTCTCAATTTCTTCTGAAATTATTTCTAGAGAGAGATCGCACACACATATATATATATATATATATGATGATGATGGTTGGGGGTTGGCTTTAATTTATGTGTCCAATTTGCCTTTATTTTTGTTTTCTTATATTATAGGTATGGACGGGTAAACCTTTTTCTTTTATTCTTCGTAGTTTATAAGATGACCCCGCCACGGTGAACTGTACATTTTGACATTGCTTTTTACAGAAAAAAAGGGCACATAACAATTCTTACCAATGGCATTCCCCTTAGTTCCTAGGAAGGTCTTTGAGGCAAAGGTGTGTGTGTGTGTGTGTGTGTGTGTGTATAAAAAGTTTGGGTTTAGCATAAATTGCCAGCTGATATCAGTGTGAACCTTAGCTTTCTGTGCGGAGTTGGGTTTCACTTGGCTTGTGCATTGGTTATCGTTTTTTTCGGTTTTCTCGTGCCTGAAATCGCAAGGCTTGCCCTCTTTGATACTACTCCCTCCATCCTCATATTTGTTTTCTATTCCACCTGACCTTGAGAAAATGGAACTGTGTGGTTAAAGATTATTTGCATCACACAAATCTTTTCTGTTTGAAAGGGAAAGGTGAAGTTTTATTTTTAAAATTAAATTCCACAAATGGTCCTTGTATAATTAAGGATGTTCAATATTTTGTAAGTTCACATTAATTGTGAATATTATTCAGTGCTAGTCTCTATGCTATTGTATACTACGGGGTTCTAATTAAGGTTCTCTTATAAATTTGGAAAATGGCTATTTATTGTTTTTTGGTAGTTTATCAATTTGAAGACTTGATGTAAAGAAGACTTAAATGGCATTAAAAGTAGACATCCAATGGAATTATAAAACACTGGACTAAATGTGGAATATCTATTAATATGGAGCATTATTTGTGAAATGTATTTTTAAGAATACATTTGTGAAATGTAACTAGGGAAGACCCAACAAAGAAATAAAGGTAAGCAGATGCAGAAAGTACTCTATGAAATAGAACAACGTAAATAATACGGAGTATTAGTGTTTGGGACCCTAGATTTCATCTGAATATTTGGATTTTAATTCTGAAATTTGATTCTGTAATTGAGTCCTGTTTGGAATTAGTTGAATTTGGCCCAAATCCGAATCCAAATCCAAATTGATTGGATCCCCAAGTGTTTTGATTCAAATCTAGATTTTGAAATATACTCCGTAAGTCTAAGTTTCTATTGAGTGCATTATTTCATTCATTAGTCTTGTTTAGAAACGTTATTTTCGATTAGCGTTAGGGTCCGTTGTACAAGGAATTGAATTGGAATTAAAATTCCATGTGATTCAATTCTACAGAATTGAATCCACTAATTCCAATTCATTTTTTGAACTGCCAATTCCAAATCTACATAATTTTTGTGCTACCAAACACGAGAATTGGAATTGAAGTCCTCAATTCTAATTCCATAGTTTGAATTCCGTGTATCAAACGGGGCTTTAGCATTTTTGTTAAAATTTTAATGATCTAGATTATTTCTGAAAATGCTAACGCTAAAGGCTACTGTCAGATAGTCTTTTCGAAATGCTCATGCTAACTTCCAAATTGGGCGTGCATAATATCAAAAACAGACTAAAACTCAGTAAACCGAACAGTAATATCTAGTCTTAAAAGTTAAAACAACCAAATGGCCAGGATTATCTCGACCTGCCCAGATGTTGGTACTAGATCGGCCCCATGCTGGGCTTTGACCTCTGGCCCATTTAAATCCCACCACCACCACATTATCATTGGGAATTCTTCTTTAGTAGGTTCACACCATTCATTATGGATTTTTTCACACGTGTCTTTATAAAGACTTCTTAGGGTAATAAAAAATTGCATGCTACCATCATATGAAAGTTTATTTAAAATGGCGGATGTTGTTTAGCTAGTTGAGCAAGAAGTTCTAAATGAGAAAAAATTCAATTTTGATTTCTGGCAACTGCATGCGTTGAAAAATAGGACATTATCATCGGGAGTGCTTCTTTAGTACTCTGTGAGAAGTGTTTTTTTCACACATGAGGTGCTAAAGAAGGTAAATCCGGAGTTCAATGAGAAATTTTTCACATTTGAAGTTTTTTTGAAGACATTAGAATAATAAACAATAGCATGCTACCTTTATATGAAAGTTTAACAATAGAGAAAAGGTTTGACTTAATGTGGTCGGGCCGCGTAGAAGAACCTCCCGACGTAGGTGAGGCTTAAGACCAGAGACAAAAACCGAAATTAGGGTTGTCTCAGATACCCCGGAAACCTTATTCAAGAGCCTAGCTCTCAAATTCAGTTTGATACTCCAAGACAGTAGAGCGTTGCTGCAGTTTTGAAAGAAGACCGAGATAGTCTTCGTAATGTGTGGGATCAAATCGCTGTTTCACAGCCTGTAAGAATGTCGGCCACGACTGCAAACACTGATTATTGTGTTGATATAGAAACCACTCCGATGCCGGACTTTCGAATAAGAGACCCACCAACCGTAATCGTGTCTCGTCCGGGGTTTGGAAATAATCGAAATAGGATTGAACTTTGAAGACCCACCCTGCCGGATCTTGACCATTAAACTTTGGAGCATCTATACGTACCTTTGGTGTATGCAGATCATTAGGCATAATTTTATCAACAGAATCCTGGAGCGGGCGGAGTATGGTCGGCCGCCGCGTTTGGCATGGCGGGGCACCCAAGATGCCTTTATTTGCATGGTTTTCCCATGGTTTGGACTCTAAAATAGAGTAAACCTGGTCGAGTCGATGAGAAACTTCATGATAGTCCTGGCGTGTGTTACGTACTTCAAGGGCGATTTGACGAATGGCGGCCATAACGTCCTCTTGTTCTTCGTGGATGGAGGAAGACGTTGTTCCGGGGATATCCTCTGCCATGGAGATGGAGTTCGGGGAGAGATGAAAGCACCAGTTGTTACGGGTGATGCCCGCAACGTGATCGGAGGCTAAGGGTTTGGAGGGGAAGGAGAGGTGACGTGAGAGGAGAAGGGAGAATTAGGGTTAAGAGAGATGAGGTTAAACTACTTTCTTGTTATTCCATTTGAGTAATGACATCCATATTTATAACAAGAAATCCTAATCCTGTCGGTTCAAAAAAAGCATCGAGATAAAGAACCGAAAAGAAACCCTCGAAAGAACTTATAAACCGCTCACCTAAAAAATATAAAATACAATCATAAATAAAATTAAATGCTAAAAGAAGCTAAACGTAATCTTTAAACCAATTTGGAGGCCTGACCACACGCCCCGAACGGCGTGATATGGCTCCGTCTTATGCTTCCTCGCGCGGCTCCCCTTCATCGTCTTCGATACTTCTTGGAACGTCGTCCGTAACACCTTTGGTGTACCCCTAACATTGCTCTTTTTTCCATCAAAATTGGTTTGTCATCTATATTTTTGATTTGCGTCATATCAAAGTAATCATACATCTTCTTTGATTGGGTGGAGTGGGTGTTGGAAAGGAGACATGTGTGATAACGCAATTAATGGAGTTTTGTTTTTCTCTTCTAAAACGTTGAGTCTAAAAAAAGTTGCGTTAAAGTTTGACTTCTAATTTATCATAAAAAGCATTAAAAAAATTATAAAACTTTGAAAAATTAAGAAATCATTATTCATCACAAATATAAAAATATTAGATTTATTTTTTACTCTATTCATAAACACAATTTGATGATTAAGTTGGCCACAAACTTTCACAATTTTCTTTATTTTGGAACTAAGAGAGGTCGGGGCACTTGCATGGACAAACTTCATTGCTTCCAAACGACAAAGCAAATCTACCCCATCTATGTGTGGGTAGGATGCCACAAGGTAAACTTTTATCATGCAAATTTTGTATCAAAATTGTAGCATGATGGATTTTAACTAAATGTTTAATTTATTTTAAATTTTAAAAAAATTGTATGATACTTGTAGACAAGTGTTATCACTAATTTTATAGTTTCTGGGTACTTGAGGATAGAAATAAGATGATATTGCAGGATTGACCGGTGCATGGGTAGTACCCATGAGTGCCCCTCCCCCGTATAAGAGAATAATACAAAGTAATGAATATTTTATTTGGATTTTGGAATAAATTACATACTCACACCATCCCACAAACAAATTCTCTTTTTTAAATAAGTTCTAAAATAATATTTTACTTTGTTTTTCAATAAAAGAAAGTGAATGTGGTTTAGGACATCTCTTGCTCTTCCAAATAAATTATGTTTGCACTTTTTTTTTGTGTTTAGTTTTTGTTAGACAATAATATTAAGTATTCCTAGTTATGGTAGAAGTTGTATTATAGTTAGTTTCCATTCTCTATTCCTAGTTGTGTTAGGAGTCTCTCCTATATATATATATATATACATACTCTATCATGTACTACGGGGTACTTCATAATTCAAGGAGGAATATTATTATTCCAATATTTCAACATGGTATCAGAGCCATCGCTCTTGATGACCTTAAAAAAAGTTCTTTGCTCCCACCGCCGCCTCCAGTAATTCCGGCGACGGCGGCTCCACCCTATTCACCTCTATTTTCTTTTCCTTTTTTATCCTCAAATCAACTTCTCCATTCAAATGAAAAAAAAAGAAGAAAAAAAAACCCCTGTTGAAATCACACACAAAAAAACTATCAAAGGAGGAACTTCTCTCTTGTCATCTCCATGGTTCTTCAAAAAAACCCAATTCCTCACAAACTCTCTCAGATCATCCTATCTTTTCAAAAAAAAAAGAAAAAAAACGATTGTTGTTTCTCTCCAATTCACCATATCAAAATTTCACACCAAATCTTTCTTCCATCACCAATTCTTAACTCACTTTTTTCTCTCTCAAATCACTCATTCTAATCATCAACCTCCCTTCTCTTTCTCTATTGTTGAACCAATAAAAATCCAAAAAAACAACACCAAAGCAAAGCCAAAATGGGAAGTAGTGAAAGAGGAAAGAATAACTCTACACCCCTTCAAAAAGAAATAGGGCATTGCCCGGATCCAATAAAAGACAAAGAATGTCAAAGATCTTCAGTCAAACAGGCACCTCCAGTAGCTTTCTCTATTCTTCTTCGACGTCAGCAGCTACTAGCGCACGTCAGACTTCTCTCTTCTCCAACGACGTCAGCAGCCACCGGCGCGTGTCACACTTCTCTCTTCTCCAACGACGTGAGCAGCCACCGGCGCATGTGAGACTTATCTCTTCTCAAAGTTTCCAATTTCCAGCTAGTGTCCAAGCTTCCTCATACTTCAGCCAGAATT